ATAAAGGGTGGCTGGTTTGGAATGGCTGCATCTAACCTAGCCAGAGTTTGGTTCTTACATGGGGAGTTCATAGCCCAACCACTAGTTAGCTTATTGTAACCAACAGCAGTCAGTTTCCATTTCTCCCCCAAACCAATCACCTAATCTTTAAAACAAGTTAAAACAATCCACAGCTTAAAAAAGAAAATGCCCAGATTCCATCACTAATTTTGCTGTTCAACATTTTAAGGTTGGAGCAAATCTGTGGATCACTGTTTCCAAGATAAATAATATATCTACCTACATTATGTACGTAAGTTGCTTCTTATCCGAGTTATCAATGTCCTTTATTTAACTATGGCTTACCAAAACATGCAGCCACTTCCACTTTAGCTGACTTACAGCACAGGCTTGATGACCATGGAGAAGACATGTATGTTTTAATTAAGCCTAAGCCCTAACGCCGCTGGGGTACTGGCTGAGCTGAGGCCAGGCATGAAGGCTTCTATTACAGTTCATAAGGTGCTGACATTTTATCCAGAGTCTAATAACCACTGAATCAGGGAAAACTTAACACTGATCTATTCTAAGAATTCAGATTCTTGCTCAGAACTGTGGCAGAATTCAGTATTCAGAATTAGTATAGCTAATAAAAAAGACTTCATGGACACTGCTTATGACCAGAGAGGCTTATCAATAAGGTGATAAACAATAGCGATGGTCTGGGTTATTTCCAGACATCTTCGTGATGAGAGAGGTTTTTACCTTCTTACGCAGTGACTTGAGTACCTATTGATTACTCCTATTATGTTCAAGTTGGATAATTTTGATGTCTCCATCTTTTGTTGTTTGCTTATTCCTTGGACCTCTTCTGATGAAAACTTCCCATCATGTTTACCAAACTCCTTTAACTTTAAGGAGTTTGAATGTCACATTGAATTCTCACTTCTTTTTACTCAAGATTCAAAGTTTCCCAAAGTTCTAATTCCATGGATGGGCTCCTGCCTTGATTGGCTGTTAGGAGTTCTAGAATTTAGAGTATTTTGCAAACTCACTGGACCATTTAGGATTGAGGAATTCTGTCTTTGGATCTGCTCTTCCATATCCACAGGTCTGTTTGTTATGACTTCCTTGATCCTTCTTTATAAGACAATACGAGAGGAAACCATGTGTGTATATGTTTGAAATAGAAATGATACATTGCACAGATATAGTTCACCACGTTCTGGGGTGGGTTGTCAGTGTTCAAACGGGGAGTCTAAAGAGTAGGAACAGATGCTTTTTTCCCTTAATGGCCCTTTCTCTCATGTAAAATCTTTCCATTTATTTCCCTAAGATTTAGTGATAACTTTAAACACTTTAACTAAATTACCCAGTGGCTTGGCAGCCATGAATGAGGCAAAATCTTTTTAGAAATCCTAGCAATCTGTTAGACTGTGGTACTGTGATATAAAATCTGCGTGTTCCACGTAGAAAAATTCAATCAGTGCAATGGATGTGAGCACATAATGCAAATGGCACCATTTCTAAACCAAGGGTACATGACCTGCCTCTAAATATTGAATTTCTATGTTTTTTTTTTCAGTCATTGACTTTCTAAATTTGGGCCAATTTATCCTCATTATCCCTAAGTAAACCTACTTTGATTTTTTTAAACAGTTATTTTATAATCAAATAGAGCCAGCCAGCCCTGATTCATGGATCCTGGTGTTGCTAGGATACATGGCTTGGTATTTGATGAAAGTATATCACTTCAAAGGGGAAAACTTTCAAGTGTCCTAGAAAATGACACTCCCCCGTCTTCCACTGTGGAAGACAGGCCCAATCCTAGAGCTTCTTGAAAGCTTGCAGACTGCAGGATTGGCCTTCCATGCTTTGAAATAAGCAGCCTCTCTGGAAGGCTGTGCAATTGCTGAAACTAGCCAGGTGGATCTTAAAGCAAGGAACACACGTATTTAACAAAACACGTTTTCAGGTTTGTTTTACAGTGAAGAGAAAAAAACCCAGAACCCCCAGATTTTATGTACTTTGAAAATATATTTAAAAACATTAAAAATTCTATATTTAAAACATATATTATATGTTAATTAGTACACTTAAATAGAACTTGTATTTACAATAGGCTTCTGATGCGATTAAGTTTTAATGCCAATTTTTTTTCAAGAACATAATTATATAAATATACTAAAATACAATAAATATTTTTTTGTTGGTTTGTTTTACATGGTGAATAATATCTTTACCATAGAGAGAACAAGGCCACAGACATTTACTTACATTGTCAATGGGAATCACCATAAAAAAAGCAACAGGCCTGCTGCCATGCATGAAACACTTCTGCCACAAAGAGACCACAGCAAGACTTTAAAAAAAACAAAACCAAACAAAACGGAACACAAATGAACAGCAACAGAGAAAGATTTGAACAAAATCAACCTTAGGTCAATGTAAACCATCAAGCATGTGACTGTGATGTAGGTTGTTGAGTAAGAGACTGCCACGGATCACATGGTTGTTGAATGTCGCCTACTCGGCCACAGATTCAGCCTTTGCAATACACTTTGAAACTGTGATGGGGACTTTTTTCTGGTTTTAGAGTTTTGTCCCTTGAAAGGAGGCTGGGAAAAATTAACAGCAGATATTCTGAGAATTCATTACATGTTAAAGATAATTACAAAGATTATTCCAAACAGCACAAAACATACCTATACTACATAAGTTATTCCTTCTTTTAAAGACAGGTATTCAGATGGTACGATAAAAGATAGGCTTGTTCTAAATAAAAGACTGAACAAGTTACACATTATTTGCTGATGGTGTCTTCATTCCCTGGGTCGTGGTAGACAGCCTCTTTTGTTTATCCCTTAGCCTAAGATGCAGCAAATTTCTTGAGGTTTTCTGATACTCCAGAACTGGCCCAGGAGATTTTCAAGTTTACACAATGGGCTAAATGGGCCTTAGCATTAATTTTCACTGGGATCCCTTTTGCCCAGGACCACTATTCCAGCTCCCAACTCGATTTCTCCTAACCCAAGATGGCAGAGGGAAGGTAGGGACCCTCTCCATGAACAGACAGGATGGTCAGGAGGTGAGGAGCATCATTTCACCAGGGAGCAACATTTTGTCAGCTTGCCCTGGTCTCTCCCACCGAGCAAGGTGCCTTTAAGCCTTTGGTATCTTGGATGGGCAGACACTGTTCCAAAGTCTTGTCCCTGGACAAGATTTTCTATTGGTAACTGTGGTCATCCAACCTGAGTTTTGGGGGGAACATTTCCTGTTTTTCCTTCCCCTTTACCGAAGTTCTCAAAAGACAAAACCCTGGTTTCCTCATGTCTAATTTCAAAGCAATCAATGTTCATGTAGCAAACATCTCCCATCTCACTGAATCCATTTCATGATCACAACGCCACCCATGTGGTTCCAAAAATGCTCCGGGCCAATCCAGCTTTATACAAAATTATTCAGGGGCAGAGGGTATAATCAGCTTGAGCGGGGTCCTCCAGCGAGAACCTCTTAGCACTGTTAGATAATGTAGGCACTTAAAGCTCGAGGTCCAAGCAACTTGACACATGTCATGCCAGAGTCACCCCTGATGAGTCCTTTAGAGGTTTCCCTTCTGGAATGTCTCAAGTACCCTTCCCCACCCCCACCTAGACCTCAGCATGACCACTCAGAAATTTTTCCTGCACCACCTGGAAAGGATACATCAGCTCCACACAGCTTCCAGATGGCTGTTTAGTCTCATTTCACTGGCGGTGTGGACTCCTGCTCTATCTAGGTGTTTCTGGGTCTGTTTTAGAACTCTACCTTTTGCTTCCAAGACAGTTTTAAACTTTACCATGATTTTTTTAAGTCCTTATAATGATTGACCCAAATGTTTACCCCCTCATCTAAAAGAATCTTCATTTTCGAGTTATTTTTTGTTGTTTTTCTCTCCTCTTAAAAAAAAAAAAAGAAAGAAAAGAAAAGAAAAGAAAGAAATCATTATTCTCTAGGCTTATGAGTGCCACGGTGTGACAAAACGTGCCTACTCATTTGCAGCAGTGGTAAACTACTTCAGAGCGTGCAACTGGTTTTTCTCCCTTAAGAGAAAACAAAACAAGGAGGGGACCAGAGGGGGTGGGGGGGAAAGAATGTGCTCAGAGTAAATGAAAATCTTTCTGATCGAAGAAGCTTCCCCCCGACCCCCACCCACCAACCAAGGCCCAGAGGGTGAGCGGGCGCCTAGGTGGTGCGCCATGGGAAGTGGAGTGAGCACTTCATTTATTTGTCATAATTTTATTCACTTTCCAGTCATCTGATTGATACTGCCAACATCTCTGCAACAGACAAGTGAATCTTTTATCAACCAGAATATAGATGGAAGGAATTCTTTCCCCATCCCTACACCCTGTGGGAACTAAAAAACAAAACAAAACAAACAAAAAAAAACACAAAACAAACAAAAATATACCCCTCCCATCCCCGATCCCCTAAGCCAGTAAAGCGATGACAACAGCACCTTGACATTGTTTTAATTCCAACGCTATCAGAAGTTAAAAGCAGTAAAACAGATAGAATACTAACAAGAACGAAGATACTTACTGTCTAAAATGTAAACGGAATGTTTTGGTTCAAATTTTTGTTAGACTTTTTTTTTCTTTCTTTTTTTTTTTTGTCTGTTTTCTGAAAGAGGACAGTTTGTTATCAATTCACAATTAAAGCAGCATGCAATTTATTAGTAGTATTTTTTAAACTTTTTTTTTTTTTTTTACGTTTTTCAATTCTTGGCAACGGCAACAAACCACAACATTGAGGAATGTAAAGCAGACTTTTTAAAGTTGTGCGCAAAAAATGACTGTTTCCCTTCTGGTCATGGAAATGTCCAATAAATAGATTGTAGAACCACTGTACTGTATAAACTTCATTTATACATGCAGTTCATAAAATTATTTTTTTTCTTAACTGAATAATTTACCCTGTTATGTATATATACAAATAGATCATTTTTGTCTCCATATAATCTATACAACATAAAGCCACTATCTCCCCCTCTTAATGGTCAGTGTACACACACAAGAAGTGTCTATCCGTATGAACCGCCAGCCAATGCGCTTTTTGCTATCCATGGTGAGGGCCCGCACGTACGACTGCGTAGTTCGGCACTGGGAATTCCAGTGCCTCTTGTCTATGCCCCGGCAGCCCTCCTTCGTGTAACCCATGGGATTGCACTTGGTCTCGTAGAAGTACTGCTTCAGCTGGCCTTTCGAGACGGGGACCTTTTCAAGGACCGTGACCGTCCCGCCCGACATGTCCACTGCAGTCTTTTTATCCGCCGCGGTCACCCACTCGCTGATGCTGTCACACACGCTCAGCTCCCCGCGGCGGGCGGGGTCCGAGTGGCGCCGGACCCTCATGGACATGTTCGCGGCATCCAGGTAATTTTTGTATTCCTCCAGCAGGAAGAGGAGAGGGGGCTCCAAAGGCACTTGACTGCTGAGCATCACCCGGGAGGTGTACATGTCCGCGTCTTTGTTGTTTTCCTCGCTGGGCCGAACTTTCTGGTCCTCGTCCAACAGCTCTTCGATCACGTGTTCAAAAGTGTCAGCCAACGACGACGAGGACGTCAGGCCTCTTGAACCCACCTTGGGCCCATTCATGCTCTCCAGAGTCCCATGGGTCCGCACACCTGGGTAGGCCAAGCTGCCTTGTGCTCGGAGGTTGGCTTCTTTCATGGGGGCAGCCTTCATGCAACCGAAGTATGAAATAACCATAGTAAGGAAAAGGATGGTCATCACTCTTCTCACCTGGTGGAACTGTAGGGAGAGAGCAGAAACAGGACACAAGACGATTTAGGGCTTTCTTTTGCTGGGAGGCAAGGCAGCCATCTGATTGTAATTCCAGGCCATTCTGCGGGGTCAAGGTTTCTGCTGTGTTGGTGATAAACTTGCAGCTGCACCAGGCACATGTTAATGTCAGTGGTGTGTGCAGTGGGCTTTAATATAAACCAGACCTGTGCAGCCCTGGCCCCAAGGTTGAGCATGGAAACCCTAGATTAGATGGCTCCCGTGCAAGTGAACAAAAAACTATGGCTTTGAGACTGCTTCCTTCCTCCCACTTGAGCAGCTTTGTAAGTTTAATTTTTAATGATCTCTGCTCAGGCTGTCACAAGAAACACAACATCAAAAATGTTACCAAGCAACAACTGCAGGGGTAATTGTAATTTTTTTTCCCTCAACTCGGCAACAAGGCTCTCAGGCAGGAATGTGTGATGGAACCAGTAGTGGCCTCTGGGGTGTGAGTGGGTCTTTCGAGCTATGGACCATCCAGGCCTGAATGAGAAAGCAAGTCAGGGAAGCTACAAGGAGTCTTCCCATTGACTCTCTTTCCTCCCGTGGAGATGATACATTGGAAGAAAGGAGGGACCTCCTTGGTGGTCTAGTAGTGAGGATTTGGCAATTTCACTGCTGTGGCCTGGGTTTAGTCCCTGGTCGGGAAACCGAGATCCCCAAAGCTGTGTGGCATGGCCAAAAAAAAAAAAAACAACAACACAAAACAGAGAAAGATCATTTCATCAAGCCATCGAGTTTTACTGATAAAAAACCAAAGGCCACGGAGGACTTGCCTCCCATCATGAAGAAAGTTTCTGTTAGGACTCAGGGCTCCCAAGTCAAGTTCCAGTGTCTTTCTACTGGTTTTCCTTACTACACTTTGGGTGGCCGTAATGAATGTAAGTTTTGCTTATTCCCAAACAGAAATCATTTTTGACATGTTGATTGTAATGATGTGTCTATGCCTGGGGCTGATATCATGAAAGCAACTTGTCTGCTTAAGAGAGAGCTGAAGAAGGAAGCATCGAAAAGCTTGGAAGGCGGATTCCAACGCCTGCCATAAGCACATCCATGGGTATCTCCACTAACTCCCCTGGCCCCTCTGCTTTTCTGGCTCATGTGCAGACCCATCTAGGAGAGCATAGCCTCTCTTTTTACTGGAATGTGGCCTGTGTGCACGTGTGGATACACGCAAGCCCTGAGCTGATCGTACCTTTAAAAGGCCGAGCAGCATTGTATACGTTTTGGTACAGGCAGCTGGTGATTCTTTCTGGGCTTTTGAAGTTTTCTGGGAAGTCCCTTAAGAACACACCATAAAATTAATCTTTTCCTGTTTGCCAGAGGGTAGCTATACTCTAAATTTGACTCTCTCTCTCTACAAGCATGCTCTGGGAAGCCAATTAGAATGAGCGAACAAGTGAGAACATACCTACGGACACAAGGTTACCGTCGGATGGTGGAGGACGTCAGAGTCACTTACCTGAGGCATCGCGTCCCTGAGTAGTAACGAGAAGCATCCTCCCCCCACCTGGACACTCTTAACTTACTCCTACTCCTCAGTTCTGGAGCAAGGACTTGCAAAAAGACACTCATAAGCCATAGCTGTTATACTGTGTCCATCAGTAGGAAAGCGGACTGCCTGTCTGCCCGTGAAGTGTCACTTGCCAGGGAAGGTAACCTACCTCCAGTCAGTAGGTCATACTGCAGAAAGAGCTGAAACTCTGGGCATAAGGAACCAAGGTGTCTGTCCTCCACTTTTATTGAAATCACAGTTTCTACTACTGTTGCCTACTACTACTATTGTCTACTACTATTGTCCCCAGACACCAACCAATTTCCTTGCAGATTCACTCTTGCTTTGTGCAAATAGCAAGCATGCTTGGAGCTACTTAGAGTGCACAGTCTCAGATTAGCACAGACACAATGGTTTGAAAAAAAAAACACAGATATCCATCCTGCTAATATCTGAACTTTTGGAAAGGTTCTGGATTCTGCACCATCAAAGAACTGGATCCTCCAAGGAGATTTCTATTCCTGGCAGGCAGGTATTTACACGCTGAATGAAAACCCTTTCTCCTAGAGTTCCCTGTCCAAATTAAAGCAACCCAAGGGGCACCTCAAATGCAGGTCACTGAAAAAAAGACAAATTTAGAATATTTTACTCCTGCCCTCTATACCATACTGGCTGGGATTTACTGTGATGAGCTACCTTTTTTTTTTTTAATTTATTTTGGCTGTGCCAGGTCCTAGCTGCAGCTTATGGGATCTAGTTCTCTGGCCAGGGATTGAACCTGGGTGCCTGAAATGGGAGTGTAGAGTCTTAACCACTGGACCAGCAGAAAAGTCCCTGAGCTATCTTTTAATACCACATTTCATGAAATCTAAGATACCATCCTTACAAAACACATCATTCTAGGTACCACTAGGATACCAAAAAATGCAGCCAGATAAACTATTGCTCTCACTACCACTTAGAACAGAAAAGAGCTCTTTTAGACTTATTTGGACATATTTTATCATAGATAACTTTTGTGCATATGTAAAAAAGAAAATTAAGCAAAATAACTTGGTTAAGGCAATGACAACTATGTTGCAACTGCTGCACAGCCCATGACAATAAAAAGACACGACCCAATTCAGAGATGTTTAAAAAAATGAATAAGAAAATGTGCATCTCAGAATTAACAAAATGGGTAAGTTTAGTAAGTGTTTACTAAGTGCCCACACTCGCTGCTTAAAATGGCCCAAGGTACTGAGATATCTTAAACTATACAGTTGGAAAATTATTTTACTATCACTATCATACTGAGTCTTTAAATGATCCTTTTTCTATACTTAGCTTAAAGAAGCTGACACTGTAAAGTTACTGCTTTTCACTTGTCTCATTTGTCTTTTTATTAAAAACTTTTTGCTTATAAAAGTAGTTAGCACTTCATATGTCACTTTCTCATCAGTTCCACAAGCAAGTACTCCAGAGGAACAAATGGCATCTGAGTAAATATAATTTGGCTTTCACCCTGAGCCCAAACATGGGCCTTCCTTAGAGCAGAACATCTGCAGACATTCAGTAATTAACCTACCTGGTGATAAAGCCCAACTCCCACAGTCAGCCCCTTCCCACCCACCCCACCCCCATTTCTATAAAGCTAACTGCCTGCTGGCTTATAAGGCCAATACTTCCTGTAGGAACAATGCTCCTTTCTAATTCTTCTGTTTCTGACAATGGTTTCTTGATAGTTTGGACCACCCAGGTTGCAGGTTAGAAATCTTGGAATCAATTCTGATCATGTATTTCTTTCAGAGCCTTTAAATCCAGTCAATGTAGAAATCCTGCTCATTTTCTAAAATATGCCTCCTGTCCATCCTATTTTCTCCATCCCACTGCCACTATCTCGGCACAGCCCTCACCATCTTATTTTGACTATAATCCTCTCATCCCCTTCAATGTACAGGACATCCTTTCTGCTCCACTTAACTCTGATGACCACTGTCTGACTAACCTCTCATCTTAGGCTCTTATATGAAGACTTGCAATGACTAGTTATTCCACCAGATCAAATCCAGCCTTTTTTTGACTTGGTATTCAACACCTTCCAAAGCCTGGCGTCATCCTACTTAGCTGACTTTCTTATGCTACTCCGTGCTTCATCACCTCTGCTCTGATAAGCCAGTGTCCTTGGGAGTCCCACATACATCATTACCTGGAAGTGACTTGTTCCTTTCTTCTTCTGGCAAATTCTTTTATCTCTATCTGACTAAATCTTGCTTATTCTTCATGACCCACTTCAAGCATCAAATCACACATGCCACCTTCTCTAATTCCTCCAGCACATACTGACCTTCTTTGCCTCTAAAATTCCACATGATGTCTCATTTAGTACTTCATTCCGTACTCACTTGTTAATTGTTAACAGTGTTTGTTAGTTATGGCCACTCTTCAGTTGGATGATAAGCTCTCTGAATCATAGGTGATTCCCCCTTAATGCTTAACACTGAATAATATAGTAGTACTCAGTCAAAACTTACTGATGGTTTTTATTAAATCATGAGAAAACATAGTTCTGACATCATTTTCATAGGAAGTCTTTCCACATGACATGTACCAGTGAACTCACTGAAATTATTAAGTCAAGTACAGGCTGTGCTAATCCCAAATTATAAACTCTAAAGTATTTGATAGATGGTAATTATCAGCCATGGAGTCTAATAGGATAAAATTTTACTTGAGTAATAATTTTAAAAAACAAATAATACTACAACACACTAACTGCTCCAGCTACCTTCTGTGTAGCTGTTTCTAAGAGAAGACTTGAAAAGGGGGCAGTAATAATAATTAAACAAAAATTAGAACTTTCAGTCTTTTAATGTCCTTTCTTCTATTTACCTCTTTAATGAGTAATTCTATATACTGTATTAGGAAATCATAAAAGGTTAAGTAAGTGCTTCCATGACAGTTTTCTTCTCTGACAATTTCTTCAGATGAGGCTTTATTATGCAAGAGATAAAAGAGGCTATGCAAAATTACTAAGTAGATTGTTAGTCTATATATCTATTTATACACAAAATTTACTGCTGCTAATTCTGTTCCAAGCCTTACAACAATCAACTCAATCACATTTATAAAATGCTAGGCAAGTTGTTTTTAGCCCCATTCTTGAAAAATTAAACATAGTGCACAGGGCTAAAAAGAAAATTAACGAAATAGAAATGAGGTTTGTTTTTAAGCCTGACTCACAAGTTTTAAACATTCAACCAGATGAATATCCATGACATCATGCTGTAGCAATAACTTATATTTGTCTAAAGACTACAGAACACCCACAACCAGCATTTGACTGTTACAAGGAGACAGAACAGGTGTTATTATCCACATTATACAGAGGAGACAGTTACTGTTCAGAGAGCTTAAGGAATCTATCAGACATCATAAAGCTATTAATAAAAGGCTACTTGTCTCACTGTCT